GGGTTACCACAGCTGTGGTGTCTCAGCTGTGTCCTGGAGTGAAGGCACCCACAGTGATCTCCAGACTCCAGAACAGGTGAAACTGTAAGAAAGATGACAGATCTTTCCAGATTCTGAGTGTTAGCTAGAACAATCAGGCCCATTCATTTGTTCATTACTTTTCTTGCGTCCTTTAAAAAAATGTTTTCTTAGTGCAATAATGTGCCAGGCTCTAAGCTGAGGGCTGGAAATACAGTCATTTGCAAGGTGGGCATGACTCCTCCTTGGGGGAAGGTAACAGCACACATTGGTAGAAAGCACGCAGTCTAGGCTGAGATTTCCTGGCTCTGCATCAGGCTTGGCATCTCACTGGCCTTCTGACTTGGGCAAGTGATATAATATGTGTCTCAGTTTCATCAGCAGCAGTAGTGGGGAGGGTCACTTCCTCCCTCACAGGACTGTTGTGCAATTGAATGACTGAACGTGTTGCAAGCCCATGAACAGGGCACAAAGTGAGAGGAATCACCCAGGGTCAAAAGCGTGGGCCCTGGAGCTGCACTTGCTCCAGAATCAGGGTGGGGCAGAGGCCAATGAAATGGTGATGGGGCTCCAGTTTTCTCCAGAAGTCCTTGCCATCTGAATCAGCTCAGAAATGTGGCCCTTTTGACTAATTTAGGGTTAGCACTTTGCAAGGTGAAACAAGATGAATTCAGCAATGCACATGGGGACATTTCCTGAAAAGTACGGGGGTAGGAGACCGCAGAAAAGAAGCAGATCGCCAGGCCTTTTCTTCCTTGATACAGCTGGGTGGGTTCCAACTGCCAACCTTTAGGTTAGCAGTCAAGCACAAACCATCTGTGCCACCAAGGGACCTCAACCAATCAATACATAGCTTTGTTTTATGTGTGTTTGTGTTTAAAGACATATTGTTGATTCATTAACATATATATTAATATATATGTATATATCATTGATCCATATATCGTTGATTCATTAAATTATGTATATATATTTAAATACATAGCATTGATTCATTACATTGATCTCATGGAAAACAACATTATAACTTACTTCTGAATGAAGCTTATCAAACATACATTTTTCTCTATGAAGCACACGACAGCCTTCTTACACTTAGGAACGCTAGATAGCAATTCAGCACTACACTTGGGGGGCATCTTAAACACCAAAATAACCAACAAAAATGCAAAAAAATGTGGCGCTAAAATAGAATCTGTACAGGACCGTTGTTTACAGTTTGAGAGCTAAAATAAGAAGGCAGAACATTGTCTTGTTTAACCTCTGCAGAAAACATGCTAGTCAGGTGACTCAAATTTTTCACACAAATAACCACAAAAGTGACACAACTATTGATTTTCAAGGAGCAGCTGGTGGATTCGAACTGCCAACCTTTTGGTTAGCAGCCAAATGCTTAACTACTGTGCCACCATGGCTACAAGTACTGATTTGGAGGTTATAAATAAATTTTAGCAGAGAGGCAAATTGGCAAATATGGGATCTGTGAATAATGAGGATCGACTTTTCCAAAACACACATATATGCATGCATATTTTCTTTTTGTTATAATGTTATATTTCCTTGTCTACTCTATAGTATTGACTACCACAAAATTTTATATGCTATTTTCATTTTCCCTCAAACCAAAATAATTTCTAATTTACCTTTTGGTTTTCTCTTTGACCTAGGGATACTTAGGAGGGTATTGATTAATTTCTAAATATTTGAAGATTTTCCAGTCAACTTCCTGATATTTATTTCAGATTTTATGTTTTCAATTTTGTTTCATGCCGTCAGTTGTGTTCTTTATTATTATGATTGTATTTTGTAATTAACATTTCCTTCACCTTTTTGCTTGGTTATATAGTTAGTACTTTTCCTTATGTCCTTGAATGATATTATTGTACTAATTTTTTCTTACAGTACCTGCAAAGATTTAGTGGTTTCCAAACATGTGCAATGCTTGAAGTGGGGAGCTGTCAAGGTGCAGGAGATTGTCTTAATCTGCAGTTCCAGGTGAGCACAAGTGCACTGAAAGGGCTTCTACTCTCATTTCCACTGCTTGCACAACCCACATCCATGAGTTAAAAAAAAACTGTTGCCGTGGAGTCTATTCTGAGTCATAAAGGACAGAGTAGAACTGCCCCATAGGGTTTCCTAGCCTGTAATCTTTATGGAAGCAGATAGCCAGGTCTTTCTCTTGCGGAGCCACTGCTGTTTGTAACCTCTGACATTTTGGTTAGCAGCCAAGCACATTAATTACTGTGCCACCAGGGCTTCTTTCATCCATGAGTGCCCTCCCCTAAAAGAGCATTTGCATCAGATTTTAATGTGATTCATTATCTCGCATTTGAAACCCCCTCCATACCACATGTCCCCCTCAGTTGATATTATGTCATGAATATAACCCTGTTGCCATATAGGGTCGCTATGGGTCAGAATCAACTCAACAGTACACAACAACAATGACAGCCATGGTGTTGATTCCAACTCATAGCAACCCCATGAGTTACAGAGTAGAAGTGCTCCATAAGGTTTTCTTGACTGTAATCTTTGTAGAAGGAGACCGTTAGGCCTTTCTGCTGCAGCCGGCTGGGTGCATTTGAACCTCCAACCTTTCTATTAATAGATGAGCACAAACCATTTGCATCCCCCAGGGACCATGTCATGAATATACTCATAGATAATATTTCAAGTGAAGGATCCTTTAGGAATGTGGTGATGATTTCCCATCTCCTATTGCATTGCCACCTGGATAGACGGGAGGTGATGGTTGTTCTTTGCTGCCAGTGAGTTGGCCACAGACTCATGGTGACCCCATGTGTTACAGAGTAGAGCTTCCCTATGGGATTTTCTTGGCTATAATCTTTACGGAAGCAGTCACAAGGTCTTTCTTCCATGGAGCCACTGACTAGGTGGGTTCAAACTGCCAAACTTTGGGTTAGCAGGCAATCACAAACTATTTGCACCAACAGGGCTCCTCATGAGGTGACGGTAAACCATCCTAAATCATAACATAATGTACATGTGGTCAGATGATAAAACATTAAATTATACAGCTGTAGAGGCTCATACTGTCATTTTAACTTTTAAGAATCAGCTTAAATTACATATTCCGGGGGATTCTGAAGAGAGTTCTCACAAAAGGTCAGTGATTGCTGCCATTTTCAATCCTTAGAAGCTTGTACTGATATTAATTGCAGACTTCTGAAATTATATTCAACTACTTATGAAATAATTGTTTTAAATTGTTTACCTCTATTGATAGCTCAGAAATATCTACAATAATGTGGAATTCATCTCTCATCTACAAATGTATATTGAGTGCCTGGTACAAAGTCAAGATACATAAAATATGTGATTAATTAACGTTAATGATTAAACATTTTTCAAAGAAGAGAATATTAATCACCTTCATGATGGCTTAGGAAAGTTTATTTTACTCTTCCCCCAAGCAAAATCAAGCCTGAAGTTATGGACAAGCCTGCTGATCAGAACAAAAGAGCTACAAGTTGGAAAACACGCAGCCACAAATGCAGTGATATCGTACAGACTGACATTTTGACTATCAAACAACGCCAAGTAAAATCCCAAGATAGAAGAGAGGGAGTAAAAGGAAACAAAGATGCTCACCAGCACCAGCATTGTGTGGCTGGCTCTGGTCTCAGGGGAGGTTGTATGGGAGAGGTGCTTGCTATGAATGTGTTGGACTCGCTGCTTATGTCTGTACAAAATAAACACCAAGGAGCCACTGGCCCAGGCCGTGAGTCCCAGAAACATAAAATCAATGGAAACAAGCAAGAGAGCATAGAGTAACATGCTAACTGAATGCTGAAATATACCAGTGGGGTATGCAAAATCTCTTTTCCTGGTAGTGTTTCTGTCATGATTTGGCCCACTCACCCTTAAAGGAATCACAATTTGTAATAGAAGATTGAAGAGCCAGCAGGTGTAACAGGAGGAGACAGTATGCTTTGAAGCTCTCGTTTTGAGCCTGGTCCACTTGGGTGTTTTAGAGCTGACAGTGATGGCCTGGAAGCCACTCAGGAGGCAGGTGGTGCAGAGCGAAACCCCTCGGGCCACTCGGTGAAGGTAGAAGAGGAGTTTATAGCCCACATCACCAAGGAAATATTTCAGCCCCAGAGCTGTCATGGCATGAGGTACCCCCTTAGAGAGAAGCATCAAGGAGTTGGCTGAACACAGGTGGCTGAGAATCAAGTCGATGGGCTTTAGTTTACGTCCAGCTATTAACAAGGACAAGTGAAGACATAAAAATTAGGAGTTTCCCAGGAGTCCAACACCAGTCTGGAGGAGAAAGATAACCCCAAATGCCAAGTCACTGGGAATCACTGGGCTGCTGGTCATAGAGTTAATATTTTTCTCAGAGCCTGAGAAAACTGGAATAAAAAAAAGTCTTGAAAACAAACACATATAATTTGTAATGGTTTCAGATCTAGAAAAGTTGAGTCACAGCTACCTAAGAAACCAGCCTTTGACTGAAGATTTCAGGGTTAGTATCATTAGACATGCATGTGAAGTCTGGACAAAGGATAATGAAGACAGAAGAACTGATACATTTAAAATTCTGGTGTTGGTGAAGAATACTGAATATACCATAGACTTCCAGAAAAATGAACATATCTGTCTGGGGAGAAGTAGAGCCAGAATGCTCATTAGAAGTAAGGATGATGAGATTTCGTCTCACGTACTTTAGACATGTCATCAGGAGGGATCAGTCCCTGGTGAAGGACATCACGCTTAGTAAATTAGAGGGTCAGCAAGAAAGAAAAGCCCCTCAATGAGAGGGACTGACACAGTGGCTGCAACAATGGGCTTAAACATAGCAACGATTGTGGAAATGGCGCAGGACCTAGCAGTGTTTCGTTCTGTCGTACTTAGAGGTGCTAGGAGTCTGAAGTCGCACCATGGCATCTAACAACTTCAACATTTCACAGAACATTTCCAGGTAAAATTACCCATAGCCCTTCACACCTGCTGCTCACCTTGGCTTTCCCTCTGTGGAGTCCAAGGATGCTTATCAAACAGCGCCATCTACTGTTTCCTTGTGAGAACAGCATAGATAGTCCCTGGGTGGTCCAGTTACCAAAAACCTGTTGCTGGTGGAGTAGATTCTGACTCACAGCGACCCTATAGGACAGAGTAGAATTGCCTCATAAGGTTTCCAAGGAGTGGCTGGTGGACTCAAACTGCCCACCTTTTGGTGAGCAGCTGTAGCTCTTAACCACTGCCACCCCACAGATCCACAAACAGTTAAGTGCTTGACTAATGCCTGACCTCTGACAAGCCCATCTAATAAACTGTCTTGTAATTGTGGTTAACTAAATGTTTCAGAGGAGTCCCTAGATTGCACAGATGGTGAAGCACTCAACCACTAGGTGAAAGGTTGGTGGTTCGAACTCACCCATAGGCACCTCAGAAGACAGGCCTGGAGATCTGCATCTGAAAAGTCAAAGCCTTGAAAACCCTGTGGAGCACAGTTCTACTTTGCACACACGTGGGCACCATGAGTTGGAATTGACTCAACAGCAACAAACAGCAACACCGCGTAGTTGCTTGTTTTTCCTGGCAGCAATGTGCCTAGGCCCAATTACAGCACAAATCCTGCTTTCTCTTAATAAAACAGCCAGAAAACTCAAGTTCTCAGGTAGAGGTTAGTACAGACACCATTATTGCCCATAAGATAAAGGGGCAATGTGACAGACATTCCAGGAAAGACTCTTCTCTGTGATAAAACAGACATGGAATTCAGAGGGCTTTTGATCCCACCCCTGTCTCCCTGCTTTGCATTCTTCCCTTGTGAGGGCATGTTACCTGGGCTGTGAGGTGTCTAGGAGGCAGCTAGCATGAGCTGAGAGCCAGCTTCCTGAGGATGAGAGACTGCAAGAACAAAAGAAGTCATGGTCCTTGAAAATCATCAAGTGACACCATTTTTCTTGGAACTTCGACCTCAAGAGTTCCGATAAACAGAACAATAAATGTATTTGTCTTTCTAAAGATTTAGGATATATTTTTATATAATAATTAAGATATGAGACAAAAGAGTGATTACATCAATTGAAGGTCCATTATGTTTCATTCTGTTACACATAAGGTCGCCATGAGTCACTGTCGACTGGAGGGCAACTATTAACAACACGCTTACAGAAACTGGAAAAGAAAAATAAATATCCATGCAATACTCACCTAGATACTGGGTGCCTACTCATAATCTTAGATTTTAGCAACTACATTTTATACATATGTTATAAAGTAATATTAGTAATTGGCCATATTGAACCAGAAAAAAATCTTGAATATTTCGTGTGGACAGCTGTGTTTGATAAGTTAAAACACAGAGAAGATAAAGGACTTAAAAATTGGTTTTCATGCAGGCCAGCAGCAGTCATTGCAATTGTGAATCACAAAATAACATTCTGTGTGAGAGAAGCCATACCTGATTCATATCTATCCCAACACATATCACACGATGTTCTTTCTTTCCCATGCACCAAACACACCACAAGAAAGCCATGAACATGATCTGCAGTTGCTGGCTTTTTCGTTCTTCTGTGTTTCCTATTGAAGGAGCTCATTCATCCTCACAAAACAGACTCAGGCCACAGGACTCAGAATTGCAAGAAGCTGGGCAGTAAGTGGTTTACAGAGCAGAAATGCTGAGAGAAATGAGTAGGGGACCCTTTGGATGAGGAAGGGAGAGCACAGTTGGAGATCTGCTGTCAATCTAGAGAGAGAAGAAAGAATCAGACAACATGAAGTGATAGAGACCAGAATATATCAAATAATGGCAAAGAGCATGCCAATGGGAATAATTGTTTCATGAAATAAAAGACAAATATAAACCTACATGTAAGTAATGATTAATTGCATATGGACATTTAATAGGAAACCACCAGTAAGTCCTAATTTTTGGTTATGTTTTCTTTATTTTTAAGTTTGTCCATCAAAAAGATAATTCCAGAGGAAAACATATGCAAAGGATCTGTGAGTCAGAGACCAAGTCAAATGCAGGGAAAGCCCCTGACCTACCTCTCACCACCCAGTCATTCCTCATTCCTTTAGAGACCTGACTAAAATTCAGGAACATGTTTTAGAGGTTTTATTGAATCAGGATTGGGTTCAGAACTAAAATTCAGGATAAATACACAATGTCAAGTGTTAAAGGACAAAACAGCAAGTGAATGAGGGCTGAAACCGTCCGATACACAGATGATTGGAGGTTCAGATAGACGCAACAGGGAAGAGAAGACAAGGAATATTGAATAGACTCGAACACAGGTAGATTTTTAACCGAATCAACACCAGTGAGACCCCCTCTTGAAAAGGATGGGCAAGGCTACATGAAAGACTTCTCTTCCCACGGAAGTGGTCTCTTGCTGCTGACCCCAGGAGAGATTCAGTACAAATGATTCTGATCAGAGTGAATACAGGGAGAGAGACAATCAGAAAAGCAGCTTTGAGGCAGCCCAGCCTTGAGATCTATGTCACAGTTGGGACCCTAAGAGGGCTCTGGGCCTGAATGTAGCATGGAGAGACAACCTCCCCAAAGTCCATAACAATGGGTGTGATGTTTTACAAATTCTGCCACCCTTTCTTCATCCATTGGCCTTGTGTGAAGCCAGCTTCTGACATAGCTCTACCCAGCGCCCCCTCCACTTGTTCCTCATTCCTTGGAGAACTGCCTAAAATTTAGGAACATGTTTACGGTGTTTTATTGAATAAGGCTTGGATTCAGCACTAAAATTCAGGACATACAGACTCAGACCCACAACCAGACTGAGAGACATGGATAGAGCAGTGAGGCTGTTCTGGATCAACTCTATGGGCAGCTGAAGTGGGATTCCAGCTCCCAGTGTTGAGCTTAGAATTACAATGAGATTCTCTTCCCTGGTTCCCCAAGTCCCCTCATGAGGAGGTGCAGCCCTTTGGCCTAGTCAGTACCCAGAATACAAAGTAGGAAAGAGTCGTTACCATCACTGAATTCCCTGAATCCATGGAAAATACTCCCTCAACCAAGATAGCATGTACTTAAACACAAGTAGGTTTGTGAACATCAGCTGTAAAGTGCCTTGTTTTAGAATGAACATTCCAAGTTTAAAAACCCATTGCCATCGAGTCCATTCCAACTCATAGCGACCCTATTGGACAGAGCAGAATTGCCCCATATGGTTTCCAAGGAGCACCCGGTGGATTCGAACTGCCGACCTTTTGGTTAGCAGCCCTAGCTCTTAACCACTATGCCACCAGGATTCCCATTCCAAGTTTAGCAGCTACAATTATGGAGGAGATAGAGAAATACTGTATTTCTTATTCTGAAATACCTACTTGTCTCTACAGCCAGAAACACTGGCACAAAGGTGGCCATTGGTGTGCGGGTGAGGGAAGGATACCTGGACCCTGAATTATCATTATGACTGCCCTAACCTCATCCCCCTGCAGAGCTGAGATTATCACATCAGCTCCAACAGCTCTGACAGCATCTGTAAGGGGACTTGGGGAAGTCTCCCTGTAAAACTTTTGTCCAAATTACAATCATAATAACAAGTTACTAGTAAATAATGAGAAAGTCCAAAGAGAATACCAGAACTATTTCACAGAGAAAGTTGACTACTGTTACTTTGGAAGTAGAAATAATTAACAAAAGGAGAGGGAGAGAGAACACTGAAACGTGGGCAAACAAAAGACTTGCTATTGGGTTACTTCCCATACAGAGTTTGTCTTTTCCCAAAAATACAATTCCTCAAGATGCCTCAGGGTCTTGACAATAAAAAAAAAAACACTTAGATGACAGACAGAAAAAAAAGTATTTTGCACAAAAAAGATGGAGAAAGAGATTCTACCAGGTCTGTTCAGAGTGGAGTCAGAAGCCATCTGGTCTGCGTGTCCCAGTCAGCAAGGGCCTCTAAGGCGGATACAGACCTACACATACACAGTGCATTTTACAATTAGTATTTTACTATATTACATACATCATTCGTCTATCCACACTTCTTTCCATCATTAATCTATTTTATATTTTAATTCATTTCAGTGCAACATGCAGACCTCAGACCACTTCAGCCCTCAACACACCAGCATGTATGCCATCTACTAGAGTGCAATATTTGTTCAATGTTTTGGGGGTACACCTACATACAAGCAAATGCACAAATCTTAGCTGAACCACATGATGGGTTTCTAGAAACATGTACACTGTATAAGGAGTCTTGGTGGTGCAGTGTGTAAGCGCTTGGCTGCTAACTGAAAGGTGGGTGGTTCGAATCCCAACAGCAGCAAAAGATTTGGCAGTCTGCTTCTGTAAAGATTACAGCCTTGGAAACCTTATGAGGGCAGCTCTACTCTGTCCTATAGGGTCACTACGAGTAGGAATCCAGTTGATGGCAGTGGGTTTGGTGGGTATATCTGTATAATGCAAACCGCAATCAAGAGACAGAACATCTTAGCCTAGCCAGAAAGTCCCCTCATGGCCCTCCCAGATGAGCTATCTGCCAAGCCCCAGAGGAATCCGCTGGTCTGCGTTTTAGTCTTACCTGTTCTAGAACATCATGTAAATGGAATCATAATCTATGTACTCTTTTGTTTAAAGTTTCTTTTTTTTGCTCTCATATTTTGTGAGATTAAATTTCTGTCATTGAGTGTATCAGATTTCTATCTTTTTTTATTATTATTGCTGAGTCTTATCCCATTGTATGAATACACCAAGTTGGTTTAGCCTTTCTGCTGTTTATTAATACCAGGACTATTTCCTGTACTTGACTATTATAAATAAAGATGCTGTGAGCATTCTTGTATAAGCTTTTTTTTTGGATAGAGATACCCGCCCCACAGTCAAGTGCTCTTATTCCCCTTTCGTCTTCTTCTCTTCTCCTTTCTTTCTCTTGCCCCAGTAACAGCTTTCTGGTTCTATCGCTGTGGTGTAGTCTTTCCTGTTCCAGCTTCTTTCTTATAAGGATTCTTGTGATTTCATTAGGTCCTCAAGGATAATGCAGATAATCCCCCCTCAACACACGAACAATACCTAAATAAATGGGAAAATATGCCAAGTTCCTTACTCAGAAGA